CCTTCATATTTTTTTTTTACTATTCGCCAACTGCAAAATGCCATGACCTTTGGGACAATTCTAATTAAAATATCGCCATAAATGAAATTGTATCAACAATAGCTTTGGTGAAAATAGACAAAATACAATTACCTCTCGACTTATTTATGATGGAAACCAAAGTTTGGCTTACTTTTTTTATACTCAACTGTGATTGGGTGCGTCCATTCGCTGGTGCCAAATGTGTTAGTCGTTGCAATGCTGTAGGAAAGTATATCTTTATCCCTTTTCTGAAATATGGCATAGGTCTGTTCTTTTTCGTAAACTGTCAACTGAAAGAGATATTGAAACGACAAAGGTTCGTTTAAATGCTCGAGCAAAAGTTTTCAGCGTCAAAGCAAACAATATACGAAAGTAGGTTGACTTCATAATTAAAAGTATGTCTTGAGTGGGAACCCATGCAACTGTTGGTCACTTGAAAGGATGCAAAGAGTGATGGGTGAATTTAATTGAGCAGAATGCCTCACGATACCATCAAAGTTCATTTAGCCACGCTTCTCTCATGAGCTCTACAGCACCTTGTAAGTGGCTCGAGAAAGGGTCATGTTTGTCACGTGCCGATGCTACCACTTCGTCATACAGACCCAAGCGCCAGTGAATCAAAGGACACATTTGAAGTTACCATCAATTATAAACTGTGAATTTCGAGATGCCCGATTTGCCCTGAAGCTCATGTCGGCACTCTGGTGGGTACAGTCCAGTTTTAAAACGCATTTTGGCGCTGATAAGACTTAGGCGAGATCAAAAATACAACCCATTTTGGAGAATAATACTTTTTTGGAGGTAGATCTGTGTGAAATTAACTGACTTGGTGATGTCTTTTTCTCATTTCATTCCACAGAATGAAATGACTGACTCAAATTGACTCGGATTTTATGCAGAATATGCCGAATTGGGCTACTAATCAAGGCAAATGATCAATCATTTTGCGAAAGAGGGTCAATTAGTTTATACGAAGAAAAGTTGGGTTTTGTGGAATCGCTTGTTTCATAATTGTTGAGCTTACTTCCATTTCGAATAAAAGTGTTGGGTGAAGAGATTCGAAGGTCGGTTCCACCAGAAGACGACAGCGGATTCCTTTCTGGAAGATTCATGCTGACGCTGTTTCCGAAGCAATCGCCTTCGATTCCGGTGACAAGGTGCTTAGCTTTCATCCGTCAAATGACAAACATGATTAGAGAAAGGAGGGTAGCATCGTCACAACAAAATTCAAGCTAACGAGTCAAGAAAACTCAAGAACAAATCCATAAAAAGTGGTATCTATACTCTACATCTGGCATCTTTAACAAGTATCAAGTGATTTGAGATACGGAAAGAAACTTGGTTCCTGAGATAACATTGTTAGGGGGACCTTCATTTCGTATAAAAGTGCATGAAAAAGAAATTCGTTAGATAAGGTCTTGTATCAACTTCGATGCATGCGAGTGTGTCTGTATCTTTATTTGTATGTGCTTGTTTGTATTCGCTTATGCACAAAACCCTCAGTGATTGGTCAAAGATGGCCAGATGTAGAGTGTATATACCACTTTTTAGGGGTTCGCCGGTGAGTTTTCTTGACTCTGTAGCTTCAATTTGGTCGTGATGATGTTCGTCATGTGACGGACGAAAGTTCAGCACCTTTTCGCCGGAATCGAAGGAGATTGCCTCGGCAACAGCGTCAGCATGAATCTTCGAGTAAAGCCAATCGACAGCTGGTCTTCTGGTGGAACCGACCTTCGAATCTCTTCACCCAAACTTTCACTCGAAATGGAAGTGAGCTCAATTAGTTTATCTGGCCACGATTTATTTGAATGTAGACTTGATTTTGTGAGCTTCTAGATTATGTCATCATCTATTTTATCATCGGAGAAGTAGTCACACAAGCCTCTTTAAAATAAGCTCACGGAAGTGAATTAGGCTGAGCAAGACAAATGAGAACGTGTCTTCATATGCTCAGCATATTTTATAATGAAATGTTATATGAACTTTAGTGAAGGTTCGAACCTCTACTTAACCAATAATATGGAATAAACTTTCAATAATTTTTAGATGCAGTAGTAAAATGCAATAATTTACCTTTGACATTTTGTGCAAACTACTGAATTCCGTTATGTAAGCTCGAACGCTGGTCTCGGGTATCCACGCGAAAATGACTCCATCGTTTGGCTGGACGTCGATGATATCGAACTTGTTTGTAGACAGTTCTAGTGGAGCTAAAGTTGCGAGTAAAAATACAATTTTGAGACTTCGTCAAGTGTTCCATAGTCAATGCTTCATGTTTATGTACAGGATACAATTCTGCAGACAATCATGTTGTTCAGTTTTAAAAGATACGGTTCTTTTATATACTTTTTTCTATTTTAAATTAAGCCTAGTCTTCATGTGGCAATATTTAGAATAAATTCCTTGGAAGAAGTCGGAGATATCAAACTGATTTTCAGCGCTATACCATCGGGTCAGTCTGAGTAAGGCAAATCTTACAACTACAAAAATAGTTTTATTTTATCAGTAAAACTGCCAAAAAGACCAAGAATCGGTTTTCCAAACGTGTGAAATTACACAATTCCTAATGTTTATTGCTTACCAGCCAAGGCCATGCATTTGAAAATGGTGCTTTCAAAGGCTGAGCAGTCATTTTGATACGAGGGCACCATCTCGCATCTATTCATGCAGGATCCGAGCGGAACCCCGTTGGCATAGCAACAGTTGACGACATTCACCTTCCGCTCATGCTCGAGACATTTGTTAAGATCTTGCAGATTGATGCTCCGGCAATGCGGCGTAACTTGAAGCGAAGCAGCGCACAGGTTTTCCGTACAACTCTGGCTGATCCACGACTTGTTCATGCATGAAGTGCAGATAGATCGCGTGCCTGAAAAAATAGATGACTTTTATGAATAGAATGACAACCAGATCTTTCTAAATAATATTCAGTGAGTCATACAACCCAAAAACCTGGACCCCGTGAAGTGAACTAGACTTTAAATTCACTCAAATTTTGGCTATCCCAGCCGGTGGCAACTAATGTGCTTCATTACATGTTCGGTTGCAAATTTCTAAAATTTGTCACAGTTACTGGGAGACCTTTTGACATCTTTCAACCTTTACTGCTTCCAAGCGACTCTTCTGGCGCCCCCCTCAATTGTTTACAAACTAATTCCGCCTCGCTATCATAACAAATCTTCACTGTTGCTTTCAGCATCTTCTGGGGCCATTTTGCCGGGCTGCTACGACTTTATTCAACGAGGATATCCAGAAATAGGCGAGTTAAGACGTGAAATATGGTAAAAACTCACTTCCCTTTTCGTATGTGCTAAACAGCTTATCGTAGGCGAGATTATTTTTGACAATGTCCCAACCGACCGGCTGATAAAAAGCGGAATCCGGACTTGACGACGAAGTACATTTGTAGATTCCAGCCAGTTCTTCTTTAAGAGTGAAGCTCACCCTGAATTCGGCTTCTTTCGTAGAAATTTCTGTGAAAAGAGTAATAAGGACTCTTGTGAATGAGCGTAATAATTAGTCTTTTAAAGCAATACAAGATGCATAATAATCCTACCTAAAAATGCATCGGAAAAGGAGGAAGCAAAGTGACTACTTGCTACAAAGCCAGTAGTCTGTTGAGTGCAGTGAAAAGTGCACGGTTTTCAATCGATGCCGATTTCCGACAAAATGGAATGAATTGAAAAGAGCGCATCTTGTTTTACACGTAACTGCTGTAGTGTGATGCAATGTGACTAGTGTGATATGACGCTATAATTTGGATGCACTTCGAAGTGAACTTTAACAGAAAAATCAAGCATACTCTCCAATTAATCAAGGTCAGACCAATAGAAAGAGATAGAGTCAAGCTAAAAACGGTTACTAACGAAAAAGTATTCATCGTTTTGAAGCTGGGTTAATAGCACCGTGTATGTGTTGCATGCGATCAAATAGTCTTTTATGCTTACAGCCGTGATTACATATTTGCTGATTTAATCCTGTCTACCTGCTCGCCTAACTTCACATTTCTGATGAATTCGGAAATAGAGGCCTACGGATTTGTTTTATAAAGGAAAAAAACAACAAAATGTGCCTATTTCGAGAGTATTATTCAACAGAGCCTGTTTGGAGAATTCATGCTCCATATAAAAGATAAAATATTAGATATGGTGAGAGGATAATTATGCAGGCGCATATGAGCCACATGCTACCGTAACTAATATGATGATGCCCACAACTTTTTCTACTACTACTATTAATGACACGACTACTACTAATACTAATACTGCCACAGCAAAAATGACAACAATTGATGCTATTAGGAGTAAGAATCCCTCATCAGGATCTAGACTTGACTCTGCACGACTTGCCAACACAATCTGTCATTTGAGCGTTGATTCATTTGGTTAGTTACGCTTGTTGAGCAACTGGTACATGGCGCTTAGAAGCAATGTAGTGAAAAACATGTTGTTGCACAAGCGTCCAACTGAAGTTGGCTCTAAGCGGACTCCCACCTGTGAAAGTTGTCTGCACACCATCCAAAAATGGAATGCTATTTTTCCCATCGAACCGAGCCAACAGTAGACCGATGGAAGCGAAGTGCCATTCAATCTTGGCATAGCAATTGAGAAGAGAAGATGACGACGGAGAAGAGTATAAGCAGGAAGATGTATTTGAAAATTATTTTAAAAATAAGTAACAAGTCATAATAATAATAATAATAATAATTAAAGAAAGACTTATTTCGACACGTGGGTCGTGATTTTGGCCAGCGTTTTTCGATTAAAGAGAATGATAGCT